TATGTTGAAGTACATTCTTTTTTCCTAATTTGTTGAGAATTTTTATCATGAAGGATGTTGAATTTTATCAAATGCTTTTTCTGCATCTATTGAAATGATCATGTGGTTTTGTCGTTGATTCTATTAATGTGATATATCACATGTATTGATTTGCATATGTTGAACCATTCTTGCATCCCTGGGATGAATCCCACTTAATCATGGTGAATAATCTTTTTAATGTGCTGTTGCATTTGCTTTGCTAGAATTTTATTGAGGATCATCTATATTCACCAGGGATATTGGCCTGTGGTTTTTTGTTTGTTTTGTTTTTCGTTATTGTTGTGTCCTTGTCTCGTTTTGGTATCAGGATAATGCTGGCCTCTAAGAATGACTTCAGAAGGATTCGCTGCCCTTCAATATTTTGGAATACTTTGAGAAGAGTTGGTATTAGTTCTTCTTTAAATATTTGGTAGAATTCAGCAGTGCTAAGCCATCAGGTCCTGGGCTTTTCTTTGAGGGGAAACTTTTTATTACTGATTCAATCTCATTACTCATTATTGGGCTCTTCAGGTTTTCTACTTCTTCATGGTTCAGTCTTGGTTGGTTTTATGTATCCAGGAAAAATTGAAAAGAGAACTATCTTATGACTCAGCAATTCCACTACTGGGCATATATCCACAGGAAATGAAATCAGTTTGTCAAACAAATAACTGTACTCCCACGTTTATTGCAACACTATTCACAATAGCCAAGATATGGAATTAACCTAAGTGTCTGTCAGTGGATGAGTGGTAAAAACTATATATAAATACACAAAAGAGTACTCTTTAGCCATAAAAAGAGTGCAATCCTATCATTTACAACAACAAAGGACATTATGTTAAGGGAAGTAAGCCAGGCATGGAAGGACAGATACCACATGATCTCTCTCATATGTGGAATCTAAAAAAATCCAGTGTCGTAGAAGTAGAGAGCAGAATAGTGGTTGTTAGAGGCTGGGCAAGGTAGGAGGATGAGGAGAGGTTGGTCAATAGGGTGCTGTGTTACACTTAGATAAGAGAAATAAGTTCTGGTGTTCTCTTGCACAGTAGAGTGAATGTAGTTAACAATAATGCATATTTCAAAATAGCTAGAAGAGAGAGGATATTGAATGTTCTCACCACAAAGACATGACAAATGTTTGAAATGATGAGTATGCTGGTGACCCTGGTTTGAATACTACATAATATACGTATGTATCAAAACATCACATTGTACCCCCTAAGTATGTATGACTATTATGTGTAAACTAAAAATAAAACAAAAACATGGATTTCCTATGCTTATGAGAGAAGCAGAATATGCCCCTGTTCTCCCTGTCGCCTTGAGCTACCTCCAGAATGATGCTCCTATCCCACAAAGCCTCATAATTCTTCTTCTCAGATAGTTGTACAAGTTTTGAGTGTTAAAAGTCATCACTCACCAGTGGTTTTATGAGCTCAAAAGCAAGTTTATTTTGGAAACTTTGTCTTGTATTTTTGTCTTTCTACTTGGGTTTTATGTTAACATAAAAATTTTTGTATTTCTATTATATTGTTTCTGTGTTACTATGAAAATCCTCAGATGATTTTCTCCAATATAAATTTTCTCCAATATAAATGGTAGATTTTTTCCATTATAAATGTAACTTCTCTATCCCTGGTGGGAGACAGTTTCTGGGCATGGTGAGGTTTCCTGCAAGTTTCGTGTTTTTTTAATTTACAGAAGAAACCTGATACCTTATGCAAAGAATAAGGAAACTTTCTTCTAGTGGTTGAGTCAAAAGAGAGAAAGCTCTCGCTTTCTCTTTTTATTTTATTTTCCTCAGTGTCCCCAGAATTGTAACCTGGTGTTCCAACATGTCTTAACCAAAGAAAGTGATATTCCAGTTTTCTATTTTTTTCATTTAATTTTGTATTTTTTTCTTTTAACTTCTTGTGTGTGCTGTTTGCTTTTTTTGTTTGTTTTTCCATTTTTAAAAATTTCAGCATATTACAGGGGTACAAATGTTTAGGTGACATATATTGCATTTACCCCAAGTCAGAACTTCAAGCATGTCCATCCCCTAGATGGTGCGCACCACACCCATTAGGTGTGAATGTACCCATCCCCTCCTCCCACCTCCCACCTGTCCAGTCCCGATGAATGTTACTTCCATTTGTGCACTTAAGTGTTGATCAGTTAAAACCAATTTGCTGGTGAGTACATGTGGTGCTTGTTTTTCCATTCTTGTGATACTTCAGTTAGTAGAATGGGTTCCAGCTCTATCCAGGATAATACAAGAGATGCCAGATCACCATTGTTTTTCGTGGCTGAGTAGAACTCCATGGTATAGATATACCACATTTTATTAATCCACTCATGAATTGATGGGCACTTGGGTTGTTTATTTATTCTTTACTCCAAATAAATATTTGAGCCCTCAATTTTACCTGAACATGACATGAGTACCTAAAGTTGTCTTGGTGACGGAGGGAGATAAATTTTCCGCTCTGGCAGGGCTCACTGCCTAGGAGGGCAAGAGACTAGTCACTGGATGGTTACAGCACACTGCAGGCGCACAGGGAAGGTGAGACCTCAGAGGAGGGACACGTAAATTTGACTTGGAGGTCAGAGAAAACTATTTGGAGGAAGTGACAAGTAAACTGAGACCTGAAAGATAAGCAGGTGTTAAAGCAGAGGGAACAGCGTGTGTGAGGGTGCGGGATGCCTGAAGTCATTGCAGAAGGAAGGCTGAAAACTGATTTTATTCTCCCTTAGCTCCAAAAGGCATATTTCAAAGACAATCATTGCAGTATTTTGCCTTCAGTTTAGCCTTACCAACTGGAAACTAGAAAGACAGTGTGTTTATAAACACAGGGTGAGTCATTCTGCCCCAGAGGAGTAAGTCTGGACGTTGTCTGAAGTTTGCCAAGGGGCTGTGTTCACTGGCTGCTCCTGGGTGCCCATCTGAGCACAGACTTGCAGACAGGGAGCAAGGCAGGACTCAGCTCTTCTCCGAAAAAGGCTGGTCCTGACACAGAGCAGTGGACCCTCTGAGTGGCAGCGTGCAGGGAAGTCAAGTATTGAATTGTTTGTTTCCGGAAGCAGCAGCAGCTCCTCAAGCCCGGATTGTGTGCCCTGGGGTTTTTTGGGGAATGCTTTCGAGGTCAGAATCGATTTCGCAATTTTTGAAAATTGGTCACACACATTTGGTCACTGATGTCTGTGGGCGAACTCTGAGACCAGTGACCACCCATGTGGGCAGCTGAGCGAGCAGGAACCTGGAACTTGGGCGTCAGTGATCGACCCTGAGCGATGGTTTTCCTTGGTCTTCCTCTCACAGGGTGCACGGTGCCACTCGAGGGATGTGTTGTTAACTCACACGGATTTCGATGATCGCTTCTCTCCCCAAAGATACATTGTGGGGAATTAAAAAGCACTATGAGATTCATAATGGCAAAAATTGTTAATGTCTTATCGTCGGAAATCCCCGTAGGCTGTGGGTTAAAGAAGTGGTTCTCGAAGTATGACTCCTAGAATAGCAGCAGCAGCAGCACCTGGGAACTCGTTAGGCAAATTCTTGGCCCCACTCCAGACCCACTGGATCAGGAACTCTGAGTACAGGGCCCAGCAGTTTGTGCTCGGGCTGATTCTGGATGCACAGCGACGTTCGGGAACCACTGGGTAAATAAGACAGGCTGTAGGCAATGATCACGTTCTGTGACTTCCGTTGGCTGCCCATGACCTCCATCCTTTCTCTCCACTCGGGGGAGCACATGAGGCCCTCGAGCGAGCGTGCTGTTGCTGCAGGGGCAGCTGGGAATTTGCACAAGTTTATTAAAACACGTAAACGACAGGTAACTTTGTTAATAATTTTTATTTATGAATAACATGACAAAAGTCACAGCCACAGGATACCACAGTTAAGCACTGCAATTCTATTAATCTAGCCAGAGCAGTGGCTTGCTTTTTTTTTTTTTTCTTTTGGCCATGCCCTGAAGTAAAAAAAAAATACATGCAAATTGCTATCTGGAAGATACATACAAGTGTGTATAACCAAAAACAAAAATTTCATGAAATGACACCCTTAATAGGATAATGTCTGTGCTTTTCTACTTAAAGTATACTGGTTGCAACCCATTAAATTGATTTCATAACCCACTAATGAAAGGAGGCCTGTGTTTTGACGATCATAGGTGCGGTGAGCCGTGTTTGGGACCCTGTGACTAGAGCAGGAAGGGGCTGGGGCTGCCTCACCTTGTGTCAGCCAGGCGTGGTTTTAGTCTCTGTTTAGCCACTTTAAGCTGTGTGACCTTGGGCCATTTGCATAGGTTGTCTGAGCTTCACTTTCTTTGTCAGTGCAGATGATAGAATCTGCCTCCCAGTTGTGGTGACAAGTGAATGACAGCATACTTCCCATCGTGCCCCGCAGTGGTGTAGCTACTACCTTACTTGTGGAAATAGTGCCGTTAGCACTGTTTTCCAGAATATCATCAGTTTAATAAGCTTTGTGTAACCACCACAAAACAGCATTTCACAGTTTTTTTCCTCTATACTGCAGTGAATAAGTGCCCCCTGCAGTTTAGGCATTTAGAAATAGTCTTGAATCATTTTATCTTAAAAATACATCCAAATTCTGTACTCCTTCCCAAAATATATTTGAGTTTGTTTTGATATCACATTTAGCCCCCGCCACCTGCCGCCACTCCCGATCCTAAGGGCGCCGTGATCGCAGATGGTGCCCCCTGCGGCTTCACACACCCACAGCATGGCCCTGAGCGGGGCATCTGGGAAACTGACCAGGTGATCGTGTCTCTGGGAAGGTGCTTGTCAGGCTGTTCTTGGATACTCACACCCGTCGGTGATTGGGGCGACGTCTCCGTGTGTGGAGCTCTGTGAACTGGCTTCTCAGATCACTCGCCGACCCCGGGCGATAAGCACATGGACGTACTAGGGACTTGGCACTCATGAGTCCAGATGTTGGGAGACGCAGCTGATATCCGCTTGTCTTTCTGGAGGTCATGATTGTGGTTGGCGGCCAGGCGCCCAAGGCCATCCGCAGCGTGGAGTGCTACGATTTCGAGGAGGACCGGTGGGATCAGATTGCCGAGCTTCCGTCCAGGAGGTGCAGGGCAGGTGAGTGGCACCACCTCCCGGCTCCGCGGGCTCTTCCCCCCCGCCAGTCTCCACTTGGTGCCTGAGGTCATGGCCTGCTCCTTGGGTCCCCAAACATCTGTGTAGGAGGCCCCCGTTCCTTCCCCGCCTGCGCAGTTCTTGGCCACGTCTTCTGGGATTAGTTCTGACGTGCCTGGAGAGTTTGAGCTAATTCAGGTATTCGCTTGACTCAAATAAAATTAGAAAAACAGAGGGAAGAAATCCAACGTGCCCCATAACAACTTCCAAATATCTAACGTTAGAGATTATCTTCCACGATGCGTTTTCCTGTGCCTGCCGTGCTCCCCCGTTGTCACCCGTCACCACAGGTAGTCAGCTGCCTGACCTGACCTTGGCGCCGTGGTTTCCTGTGCCTCAGGTGTGGTGTTCATGGCCGGCCACGTGTACGCCGTGGGCGGGTTTAACGGCTCGCTGCGGGTGCGCACGGTGGACGTGTACGACGGCGTGAAGGACCAGTGGACGTCCATCGCCAGCATGCAGGAGCGCCGGAGCACGCTGGGCGCCGCGGTGCTCAACGACCTGCTCTACGCCGTGGGAGGGTTTGATGGCAGCACGGGTAGGTCCAGGACCTGTTCTGACCCCTCCCAGCCTGGGACGCGCCCTTCACGCCATGCGATTCTGTTCCACCCGTCCTCGGGCCAACCTTCTGTCTATGTGTAGCTGCTGCCCCAGGGACAGCCCCATCCTTCACCCTCGTCTAGCCTGGGAGGCTGGAGCCAGACCGCGTAACTGCCCACGTGCTGTGATGTCCAGGGCTCTAGCAGGGACCCCGCATTTAGAAGAAGCCCTGTCCTACTTTCCAGTGTCTAGGAGCCTATTTACTCAGGCGATGAAACCCAGAAACAGAGCAGGCTTAGCTGGGGTCCTCGGGACTCTGGTCTGAACCTTCCACTGAGCAGACGCGGGAACTGGTTCAGCTGTGGGAAGAGACCTGGCTCAGGCCGTGCAGTGGGCCCGGCTGCCCACTTTTTCCATTGCCCTTTCTCCTGCCTCACCGAGGCTTTGCAAGTCCTTGTCACCACAGGTGAGCCTCCTTGCTCCAGAATTTTATGTAGCTTCAACGTTCCAATCTGAAACCATTAGTGGACTGGAACTTGGAGAGAGGATCTCATCGCTGCTCATGATGCCGGGGAGATGTCTCCGTAGACAGTAACTCTGTTAAACTAAAGTGATACCCTTTTTGCCCAAGGGAGGTGAAAAACAATATTTTTTACTTCTCCGAATTTTCTTTCGTCTCTTCACAATTTGTTCCTCAGCCCTCTCTTTGCCTCACTCATGTAATTGGAGGGTCTTTATCCCCTCAGGAGGCTGCCTTTAGTGAGTGGGGCCTGGGAATGAAGAGGACAAAATGGTAGTTGTGCATGGTGTCTTCTAGGAATTGCTTTTGGCTATAAGTATCTATAGAAAACCTGACTGAACTGTGGCTTTTAAAAAGAGGGATTTTGTTTTTCATTAAACAAGAAGTCCAGAGGTTATTAGTTCCTGACTTGGTCCAGTTGCTCAAGGATACTGGGGCCAAGTTCTTTAAGATTCTCTTGGCCTTTTCCTCATGATCACAAGATGGCTGTTACAGCTCCAGTTAACACATTTGTGTTCCGGGTAGCCAGAAGTAGAAAGGGATGGCACCTGCCTCAGAAAAGCAGAGGCTACTTCAGAAATCCCCAGCAGACTTCTGCTTAGGTCTCATTGACCTGGTCACCCCTGGCTGCGAAGGAGTCCGGAAAGCAAGAGTTAGTTTAGCTCTCCAGCGTCCAAGGTAAAGGAGGGCAAGGGAAAAGGGGGCTGGAATAGGTGTTCATCGAGGCAACCTCAGGTGTCTACTTGGAATCAAAGAATTCCATTCTGTGTGTCTAATAACTCACATCTGCCAGCAGTTCAGGAACAGCTCTTGCCCTCTCACAGTCCGCCCCCCGAGTCAAGTCTCAGTGGTTCCCTCGGGGAGACACCGCAGGTGTGTTTCCGGGACTGCCACATGCCACACCGCGAGACGGAGGTGGTGCCCAGCCACACGTCCCGGTGTCCAGACCCCAGGTTTGGGCCCTTCACCCGTCCTCACTGTTTCTCACGCAGCAGGGGGCGGCCTGGTGCCACAGAAGTCTCACGAGTCGCTTGTCTTCCAGGCCTGGCGTCGGTGGAAGCCTACAGCTACAAGACCAACGAGTGGTTCTTTGTGGCCCCCATGAACACGCGGCGCAGCAGTGTGGGTGTGGGCGTTGTGGAGGGTAAGCGGGCAGCAGGGGGGCGATGGCCCATCATTCCCTAGCCCCGGGGCCTTGTCCTGGGCCCAGCGTCGTGCCTGATGCTTCCTCTGCCTTGGCTCCATCCTTCAGATCATTGCTCTGAGCTAGGGACTGTTACCCCCATTTAACAGATGAGGAAAATTGAGACTCAGAGCTGAAGCTCCTGGCCCAAGCCTAATGAGTGTTTGAGCTGGGATCGGGGGAGTAGAAGGACGCTAGTCGGGAAGTGCCGGCCTGTCACTTGGCTGCTTCTCAGTAGCTCTGCTAAAGGGTGGGGGTGGGAAGAAAGTGGGGAATCCAGAGTCAACATTTATAGGGGTTATCCCAGGAGTGTAATGTGGGGGTGAGAGATGATGGTGTTTAATTCATTTTATGCTCATGTTCCCATGTCAAACATTAACAGAACCGTGGTGTGTGTGTGTGTGTGTGTGTAACACACCTCCTCGCAGGTCTGCTGACTGTCTCTGCAGGGCAGGTTGGTGGTCAAGTCCTGCTCTAGTCAGGAAAGGAGTGTGGGGTCAGGCAGGAGGGAGGAGCGATGTCTGGGGCCTGGTCAGACAGTGCACGGTTGTTTGTAAAGAACTTGCACACCAGGCTCTCATTTTGTTTGCACAATCCTTCTGAAGGAGGTAGGCAGGACTCAGATTGTCTCCATTCTCCCAGAGGCAGGTCGCGTGACATGCTACATGTTAAAATGATGGTCAGTAGCACAGACAGGCCTTGAACCCAGATATTCTGACTGCTCACCCGGTGCTCTGGCCACCATGGTGTGCTCCTTCAGACTGTTGGCAAATACCAACGGGCAGGGGGTTTATAAATACGTGTGAATTCAATGCACCCAAGAATAGAGTATCATTTGAACTATGTCATTGTTTGCAGGAAAACATTGATTCATTAACCTGTCTTGATGTGAGCATCGAGCTGGAGTTTCTGTGCAGTCAGACATGTGTGCATACACAAGAACACGCACACAAACGTAAACAGGCTTTTGAGGAGAGTGTAACGTCCAGTAGGTTAGACATTAATAGAAAGGTTCTTTTCTCTCACTGTGTTTCTCAGCCCATACTGGTATTGTGTAATTTCAATTTTCGTTTGAAGGTATGCTACTCTAACACACTGACCAAGTCATTGTAGCGAGCACAGAGATTTTGTCTTCCTACCCAAGATAAATTGTTTCTTGCAATCATCCTCTTGGTGGAACAGAAATTGATCTGTCTGCCAAATGTAAGTGCTTTGTCTAGTCACCTTCTCGTTTTCCTCCTTGTCCCTTCTCCAGGGAATATCCAACAATAGAGTAGTGGTTAAAAATAGCAAATCTCTGTTAAGGGACGCGAGGGGAAACCTTGAGTGGGCATTTTTTCCAGCTGATTGCAGGGTCAGGGATGGTTGGTGGGGGTTGGAGGAGGTGCCTTAGTGGTGGTAATTTAAAATACTCCCCCTGACAAAGGCTCTTGCGAGCATGTTCTGTCTGAGGAAGACGTGAGGTCTTGTGGCGTGCCCCGGTGACGGGAAGGACAGACTGGGGATTCCTTTCTCTTTCCTCTCCCGAATCTGAAGCTCTCTGGGCTGTGGGTCACCCCGGGGCGGCAGAGTCCAGTTTGCAGCTCTGGTGAGAGTGTGGAGAGGGGAGCTTGAGCGGACTTGGCCTTGAAGAGACAGTGTTCCACGGTCTGGCTCCCTCTCCTCCCTCTCATCATCTCACCACCGTGGCTGTGTAGTCTGATGACTCTGAAAAAAAAAAAAAAAATGGAGGAAATTGGGACAATTTGCTGCTACTGGCTGTCTCGAAGGAGCCCTGTGCAGGAAAAGGGCTGGCGCGATCCAGAGTGTAGGTAGAAGTTCCCAACAGAGCGGAGAGTGCGTTTTACAGAGATTGTGACATCTGAACCAGCACACACCGTGCAAGCAGCGAGGACCCTGGAGGAGCAGCTCAGCCGGGCTTTTTTGTTTTGACGCTGCTGAGGGCAGAACCGAGGAGAAGATGTTTCTTTCTTTTAGATGGGACAGTTGAAAGGGCTCTGGGGCAGAAAATAAAACCAGGCTTGATAGAAGAAGATAGAATTTTACATCTGATGCAACGATAGTCCTCCTGATGGCAGAGCACAGCTTTGAGCCTGAGAATCTTTCTAACTTAAAATAATGACAGGGTTTCACATGCCCGTTGTGCTCTTGGTGTCCTTCCATTAAGATGCATATAATGACCAAAAAAATCTGTTGATTATGTAATCCCATTAAGTGGATTTGAATTCGGTGGTATGTTTTTAGTGCTCAACTAGTATTCAACATTCTTGTTGTAATTCCATGGTTTCCCCCTTACGTTTGAGGCCCTTAGGTGAGGCAGGACTCCTCCCCTGCCCCCACAGAAGAGACCTCCCCATTGCATGCTAAGACTAAATGTTAAGCCCATGTTTGAATCTCTGCTCTGGGGTAACTCAAATAATGATTTTCTGCCTCTTTGCCCAACCTCCTTCTCAGCCCTCAAACCCAGGCAGAACTGATGCTCTTGTATAACAGCTTAATGGTGTCTTTACTTTTAAATGTAGATGATGATGCTTCAGGGCTCTTGTGTATGGCTTAGAGATGACTGGGTAGTCTGCAGGAAGCTTCCAGCCCAGAATGCACGGAGAATACTCTATTCACATGCCCTGCCTGGCAGAGCTGTGCAAGTAGTGGAAACAATGGCTAAGACAGGGTTTGGGTTATCATCCAGGAATATTTTTCCATATTTATTGCATCTGCTATTGTGAGCTTAGCCAGAAAGCTGGCCTGCCCGCCTGTAGCTGGGAGCCCCCTAGCTTTCCGTCTGTGTGGTGCTTGCTAGTGCCTTGTTCTAAAGATTAACATAGTTCACCAGCAAGAATGTGCTGAGCCGCAGTGGTGCAAGGCCACAGGTTTGTGCTGGGTGTTTGGAGTCCTTATTTGGAATGAGGTTCAGTATTTGCTTCCAGGGAGCTCGTGGCTTAAGGCAAGTGGAAGGCAGGAATGCGAAGGCTGCTTTGCCTGGAGATAAGCTCGCAGGAAGGGGGCCCAGAACTCTGATTGAAGTAAGGGCGCTCCAGTGGGTTACAGACGGAGCTCCAGCCGAATCCCTGTTCCACCCGTGTCCCTGGCACCACCCTCAGCCGCTCTGTCTGTTCCAGGGAAGCTGTATGCCGTCGGGGGTTACGACGGGGCTTCCCGCCAGTGCCTGAGCACCGTGGAGCAGTACAACCCGGCGACCAACGAGTGGACGTACGTGGCAGACATGAGCACTCGCCGCAGCGGCGCAGGTACGGGCAGCCCCGGGGCACAGGCTGTGTCTGCTGCGCTCACAAGCGGGTCTTGAGTCCAACAACTTAACGTGACACTCCATCTCCCTCTCCCTCCCTTCACTGTGTATAGCGCCACTAACACCTTTGCAGCAAGACACAGCACTAACTTACAAGTTCGCCTTTGGGGGGGGGGTGTCGCTCTGCTAGGGAATGCACGCGACAGTTCTCTCCACCATCACCCCTCTGTTTCCGTGGAGTTGTCTGCATCTCTCGAAAGGGAGGGCTTACTACGTGCCAGGCACTGTCCCGACAAGCGCGTTCTGTGCGTCCGTCTGTCTAATCTGTGAGGACCACAGCCCTGCCGGGTTACACAGTATTAATTCCATCACCAGGTTCAGATATGAAGTCTACCAGGGGTCAAGTAATTTGCCCAAGGTCATGTAATGGGTAACTCACAGAGTCAGGATTCCCACCCCATAGTTAGCTCCTTTAACCCCAGATTACGAGAGTCTCCTTCCTGTGAAGCAGTGGGACAGGCACTGCTGTCCCCGGTCTCCAGGGGACAAAGCCAAGCTTGCCCGTCTGGAGTCTCTGTCCTGGGGGCTGGAAGCCCAGCTGTTGGTGTTCACGTCTGGAGATGAGCTTATGTCCCCCATCCCCACTTTTCCCCACTTTAACCCCCTGCCCAACATGGGAACAGAACGACTCCCCAAACGGTTTTCCACTAGAGCTTTCGTGGGGAGACCCGGAGCTGTGTGGTGCTTAGGGACTTTTCAGGAAGTGAAGCAACAGCCCCTTCTTCCCTGCTTTGTCCCCCTTTCGCCTTAGAGGCCCAGAGGAAAGGGTCTGGGAGGGCAGGCGGAGGTGCTGGACTCTGGCTCTTCATTGCCAGCCCCTGTGGCCAGTGGTGACTAATCGCCAGTCTGGTCCTTGCGGGAAGACTGTGTGGCTTCTGGGAAGGCAGACCACACTGGAAGTCTTTCCCATCATGTTATCCCTCTCTCCCTCCCTCTCTCTCCCTCTCCCCCCCCCCCCCTCTCCCTTTCTCCTCCCTCTCCCCTTCTCCCTTTCTCCTCCCTCTGCCCCCCTTCTCTCCCCCTCTCTCTCCCCTCTCCCTTCCTCTTCTCTCCCTCTTCCCCTTCCCCTCCCTCTCTCCCTCCCCCCCCTTCTCTCTCTCCCTCTTCCCCCTCTCTCTGCTCTCCCCTCTCCCCTCTTCTCTTCCCCCTCTCTCTTCCCCCTCTCTCTCTTCCTCCTCTCTCTCCCTTCCTCCTCTCTCCTCTTCCCTCTCCCCTCCCTCCTCCCTCCCCTCTCTCTCTCCCTCTTCCTCCTCTCTCCCTCTCCCTCTCTCCCCTCTCTCTCCCTTCCCCTCTCTCCCTCTTCCCCCTCCCCCTCCCTCTCCCACCTCCCCTCCCTCTCCCCTCGCCCCCCTCTCTCCCTCTTCCCCTCTCACTGTCTCTCCCCTTCCCCTCTCTCCTTCCCCCTCTCTCTCCCCTCCCCCTCTCTCCTTCTCTTTCCCCATCTTTCTCTCTCTCTCCCCCTCTTTCTCCCCTCTTCCTCTCCCCTCCCTCCTTCTCTCTCTTCTCTCCCCCTCTTCTCCTTCCTCTCTCCCCTCTCTCCCTCTCTCCCCCTCTCTCTCCCTCTCTCTCCCTCTCTCTCTTTTCCCCTCCTCTCTCTCCCTCTCTCTCTTTTCCCTTCCCCCTCTTTCTCTCTCTCTCCCTCTCTCCCCCCTTTCCCTCTGTATTTTTAGAAATTGAATTGTGATCTCATGTTATAGTACCAAATACATGACCACTTCCTCACCATTTCTTAAAAATGATGCTATTTTAATATTTTTCAAGAACCTTTGAGTGCTCACTGGTTACAAAAACAAAATCTGTATGATTCCACGTAAGAAGCATTTGTGTTTGGAATGCTGTTTTTAGGGAGCTTGCCTCTGCTGATCCTGACAGGTTGGCCCTTCCTGAACGGGCAGCACATGCCTGGGGGGCAGGAGGCCTGGGCTCCAGAGCCGGGTCTGCTCGAACTCGCCACGTGACTCTGGGCGTACCTTCCCTCGTTTCTGGCTCTGACTGCTCAGATGTGAACTGACTGGGTTGCAGCAGATGTTCCCTAAGAACCAGCTCAATTTGCAAATCTCATGATTCTTTTCCCTTCATAAAACTCTTTTAGTGATTTTGGTTTCTGAAGTCTTGATAGTGTTCTTGGCATTTCCAAGAAATCCTCTACTGTAGCTTGAGGTGAGAGAGCTCAGCAGGAGTGCGCATTGCGATGTGTTCTCCCAGGAGCCTCTCGGTCTGCGGTGAAGCCACCAGGACAGACCTGCCTTGGGGACTCAGGCTCGTTCTTGCCGATGGAGCTGCCTTTGGGAGCTGCACCGCTTTGTCTCTCCCAAGCTTTCTTTTTTTTTTTTTTTTGAGACAGAGTCTCACTCTGTTGCCTGGGCTAGAGTGCCGTGGCGTCAGCCTAGCTCACAGCAACCTCAAACTCCTGGGCTCAAGTGATCCTCTTGCCTCAGCCTCCCCAGTAGCTGGGACTACAGGCATGTGCCACCATGCCCGGCTAATTTTTTCTATATATTTTTAGCTGTCCAAGTAATTTCTTTGTATTTTTAGTAGAGACAGGGCCTCGCTCTTGTGCAGGCTGGTCTTGAACTCCTGACCTCAAACGATCCACCCGCCTTGGCCTCCCAGAATGCTAGGATTACAGGTGTGAGCCACCGTGCTTGGCCTCTGCCAAGCTTCTTAGATAGTTTTTGATGGGTAAACATCACCCGGCCTCATTCCTGCCTCTTGCTCAGGCTGGAGGTCCTGGAGGGTGGTCCCTCTACTGCCTGTGCCCCCTGGGAGGCACAGTGGCCTTGCTTTAGGGAATGGCCTTTTCCCTCAGATTACTGTCCGAATCTGGCCTCAGGCTCTCAGGTCAGCCCTTCTTCAGTGTTTCACTGCCCTAAGATGTGGGCACGTCTCACCTCTGGATGTGGGAACCCGAGTACTTGTTGTGGTGGGTGTTTTTGTTGGCTGAAGCTCAGAGATCAAAGGCCCTGGCCTCTGCTGCCTGAGGTCCTTTGAGGTGCCAGGAGCCACCGTGGCTGTAGGTCTAGGAACTGCGTGAATGTTTATGGATGAAGCTGCACAGGGCAGTGACGCCCTGGGTCCCTGGCGGGCTGCTGGTGTCCTCAGCAGGGCATGAGCAACACGAGCAGATGGCTCGGGGGAAAGAGGCCATTTCTGAGTCCCAGGACCTGCTTGTTCCTGCTGAGCATGACAGAAGGGAGGGCGAGGCAGCTTTGGAACCCTCTGCATTTTATTAAACCCAAGGCCGTCAGATGGCCGTTGCTGGTACGACAGCACCATCTGCTGTCAGATCGGGTGCCTGCGAGGAGCCGCCAGCACACCAGCACCATCGCTGGGAGGGGGTTTACATTTTTTGTCATTCAAACAATATCTGCCGAGAACTACTACCACTGGGCAAAGGGAAGCAGACCAAGACAAGACAAACACGGCCCTTATGTGCATGAAGTTTGTATCTTTATAAACCTAGTTCTTGGATCTGAGACCTGGCTGCAGGTCCCCATCACGTGAGGAGTTTTTCCTCCTCCTGACTCGCGTCTCTGGCAGCGGGGCCCTGGAATCTGTCTTCAGAAAGCTCCGCAGCTAACCGAGACGCAGCCTGGCCGTGGCGTGGAATCGTCCGTGGTCTGTGGGAACTGCCAAGCTAGGCTAACTTTCTCCCTTTACAATCAGGAACACTGAGGCCCAGAAAGAGGAAGGGCCACCCAGTGGGCGGATTAGGACAGGTCCGAACCCCAGGTGTCCCAGCTGCCGGGGCACCTGCTCTTCTAGGTGCTGTGCCACCTTCTGTCTTTATGGCTTCTATCTCCTTGACTTCTAAGACAAGATTTTAGAAGATTACACCAAAATCTGTAAATAATGCAATTCTAGCACTCAGCTCAGGCTAATCAGCGCAGTGAGTGACCGAATGCCCCCTACAGCCTCTGCAGCCGAGGAGGAGACAGGTGGGCGGACAGATCCTGCTCGCAAGAGCGCCAGGGAGGTCTCCCTACAGCGACCGCAGCACACCAGCCAGCTGTGGGGCTGGTTCCCATTTTTAACTCTTTTTACTGAACTAATAGAAGGCTGAGTAACACAAGTGGGAAACATTGTAGGAAAACTAGGCAATAAGAGCAGGCAAAAAGGAAAACCAATGTAGTTTTCCACCCGAAATAACTACTTTTAAAGTTTTGATGGATTTGTCTCTTTTTCTGTTTGCCTGTGAACCTCCTTTGCCATATACATGTATGTGTGTGTGTGTGTGTGTGTGTGTGTGTGTATTGTTTTGTTTTTTAAAATAGAGATGGGATCATATTTACTTTGTATTTCAAAGTTTTCCAGTTGCCAGTCTTCTGAGGAGGCAGGCAGGGTGTCCTTACATTTGTTTCACGGATGAGGACACTGAGGTTCAGGGAGACAAAACGGCACTGCCCAAGTCCCCCCGCTGGTGAAGGCTGTCCCAGACTGGGCGCCAGGCCCCCTGGTTTCTGGTCGCCATAGCCAGCCTGAGGCTGGGACACCATGCTCTGCCTTCCAGGGGTCGGAGTGCTCAGCGGACAGCTGTATGCCACAGGCGGGCACGATGGGCCCTTGGTGAGGAAGAGCGTTGAGGTTTACGATCCTGGAACAAACACCTGGAAGCAGGTGGCGGACATGAACATGTGCCGGCGCAATGCAGGTAACCTGCGGCCCTCTCCTCCTCCCCTCTGGGGTTTGTGGGTCTTTTCTCCCTGAAGACACTAGGTCTAGACTAGAGGAAAAGGGGAGGGCGTCCCGGGATCTAGAGCTGAGCTTGTATCCTGAACAGGGAGTGTTTGTTTGCTGAGGAGGCTCTGGTTTAAGGGAGGGGAGAAATTGGGATCCACCAAGCCAGCCACGGCTTCCCCACTTAGATGCAGAGGGAGGCCTTCTTCCCCAGGGAAGGGTGATGACTTTTACTGCACACAGATGGGCACAGACCCAGGAAAGCCCTCCGGTTGCCATCGGTGACCCCTGCCCGATGGCTTTATTAGGTAGCTAAGCACACGGCTGCGTGGACATGGGCCAGTCAACGGCACTGGATTCTATCTTTTGTCTGCCAGCGCCTGGCTGGGAGAAGCGCTCACTTCCTGCCTGAAACCAATCTTCTTCCTTGCAGGGAGAGCCAGAGCCTTGATTGAGTCTCCTGTCTCTCCTTTCCTTCCGCCCCCCTACTCCTTCCGTAGGAATGACTTACCATGGAGTATTTAGGCTTATATTTCCTGGAGTGTGACATTCCTATTAAGCTCTTTCCTTTTAGAATTCTGCCCTATGAGTTGTGTCTTTGCTTTATGCTTCTCTAGGAAAGTGTTGGCCGAGCCCACCCTCCAAGGCTAGACAGACAAACAGGTGACTTTTAGGCACATCTGTTTCCTCTATTCTCATATTACCTGTTTGCTAAGCTCATTTCTGGCTGTCTTGCTGGCAGTATAAACGGGAGAGTTGATTAATTTACTCATTGTCGAAGCTGTGCTAGAGCTTAGCATTTGGCCTTGAGCCACATGAGCACGGCATTATAGGACCCTTAAGGCAGCTAGTCTGTCTAGAGTCTGAGAATTAAGTTTATATGTGAACGTGTATATATATATATATATAAACATTCATAGATGTTTCTATTTTTTAATAACAAAAATGGAATCATACTATAACACTTTCATAACTTGCTTTTTAAAACTCACTTTAAAATCTTTCATGAGTAGCTCATTACAATACCAAATTTATTTACATTTTTTAAAATTTCAGGATATTGTACATATTATTTTAAATGGCTATATCATCATTTAAACAGCCAGTCTACTAATGGACACAGGTTATTTCCAAGTTTTCTATAAATAATGCCTTGGTTACTATACATGGTCCATATAGCTAAATCAATGTACACACTTACAATTTTATCTTTAGAATAAAAGGCCAGAAGTGGAATTTTTGAGTCATAGGAAGTACATGTGTTTTAGACAATATCTAGGAAGGCGGTTGATTTTATACTCTCACCAGTATTTCAGAATATCTTCACCAAGGCTGATAATTATTACTTTTTTGAACATCACCAATCCCTTACTCTAATTTTGAAAAAATACACTATGTGTTGGACCATGGCCTTTTAAAGTCTTGATGAGCAATAATTACGTTTTCGTACTCTTTAGTCCCTGTTGCATGAGACCTTGCCCCAAATCCAGCTCACTCTGAGATCAGGATGGGAGAGGTACCTTGTCCCTGGGAACTAGGTATGAATTCAGACCCCGGTCTTGTAGAGGGAGTACAGACACAGTCATTAATGCCACACAGTGTGGATATGACAGGACTTGCCAGGGGAAAACCTTACCAGCAGAGAAGTAGGAGTGTTCATGAAAATCCCCTGGATTGTCTCATTCCCTGCCTCAGGCTGGGCACAAGAGGTCTGCATGTGCCACTCCAGTAGAGAGGGGCCCGAATCCACCCTGCTCTGCATACTAGAGAGAGAGAGAGTATGTGTGTGAGTGTGTGTGTGTGTGTGAGAGAGAGACTGTGTAGTAATCCAAACTGCCTGATCGGAGAAATCACCTTGTTAGAGAGAGGGGGATCCTCAGAGCCCAGGGGCTGTTGTCAGATGTGCTTCCACGGGGCAAACGTGGACTTGGGGAGCTGAGTCTCTGCAGGGCTCCCGCAAAGGGAAGAGCAGAGCCTCCAGGGCCCTGCAGATTTGTGTCTCAGCAACTCCCGTCTCTTGGTGCTGCTGCTGTAGCATCTAAGGCTTCCACTTGATTTCCAGGGGTGTGCGCGGTGAATGGCCTCCTGTACGTGGTTGGCGGGGACGACGGATCCTGCAACTTGGCCTCGGTGGAGTACTACAACCCCGTCACCGACAAGTGGACGCTGCTGCCGACCAACATGAGCACGGGGCGGAGCTATGCAGGTCGGTGTGTCCGTCCCCACCCCACCCCCCAGAGGCTCCAACACCCTGGGGGTACGGGGTGGGCTGGGGTGGTGGGATGAGGGGACGTTGGCTTGCCTAACTTAGGACCGAGTGCCTCCTCCAGAGGTGGCAGGTAATCGTTGCATGGCCACCAATCCTTCACTGATAATTAGCACTGTTTCCCCCACGAATCTGAAAGTGGAGCCTCAGAATTCTTAGTGCAGTGTCCCAGGGAGCCACTTCCAACGGATCTAAGTTGTCACAAGAGATGTTAGAATTTCCTTGCCATTCCTGGTTTATTTGATGCCAGGCTCCTAGGTGGCATCAGGTACAGTTCTCGCTGTCCTGAGTTTGATTGGAAAGGTTGGACCTGCCTACTCTCAACAGGGGAGTGCGAGATGACACACATATGGGCTCTACGTGACATGCAGCAGGCAGGCTTTGCGACGTGAGGGCCGGTGGGAACCGGCAGAGTCAGGGCACAGGGCTCGATTAGACTTTGCGGGCGGGGCACAAACGCTGCCCTCCGCTGGGCGCCCCTCTCTGCTGTGGGGGGCGTGTGGGTACAGTGTCCGCATCGCTCTCCTGTCTCCGACAGCTCTCAGTCTGAATAGAGCGGTAGCCTTCCATTTCATGGAAGATGAAACTGAGGTTTGGAGAGTCTAAGTAACTTGCCAAAGGCCACACAGGTAGTAAGTGGCAAAGTCAGAGTTCAAACTCAGGTCTGACACCCTCTGTGCTACCCCAGCTCGGGGGGTGTGGCGGGAGGAGTGAGGCCGGAGGCTGGCGCGTCGGCCTCTTCTTGGGGAGTGTGTGCGCGAGGTTTGGCGCGGGGCAGGGGCAGGGGCAGGGGCGGCGTCAGAGTTGGTGCCGCTGAGGTCAGAGGCCCGTGGGAGACGAGCACATGTATCTCCACGATGCAGCCCACCCAGCTCCTACGTCTGGTTTTTCAGACAGCAGAATAGTCGGAGTTCACATCACTTACTGAGCACGCACCGTGTGCCCGGCATCATGCTAAGTATTTTACAGTCATCGCCTCGTTTAATCCACACCACAACTTCAGTGGTTTCTTCTCACTCCTATTTTGCATTAGAAAGGTCAGTCCTTCCCTCTCGTTTGGATTTCAGTGCGAAGGAAGATTGTGCTGTGCAGGCTCAAAGGGGTTTGTGTCACTTTCTTTCAGCGTAAGACTTCTATTTCAAGGAACTTCTTTTACTTTTTCCCTTCTTTAGGGTTTTTTTTTTTTTCCACCTGTCAAATTTTTCTTGGTTACCTATAAAAGATTTTAGAAGCATTTTGGTTATAGGGTGATTCTGTTCTCATGGTTTATTGTGAAGACCGGCACTGTTGTTTCCTTTTGGAAGCTGCAGTGGGGAGGGCAGAGCATTTTCTAGGACGAGGCAGTGAGGCACGGGAGGGACCTGCCCTTGGTCCCACCTGTGCCTCAATGAGAGGGGAAAGGTGAGTGGGAGTGGTTAGAGTTTCGTGTATGAACTGAACATTTCACGTCCCTTCCTTCATTGCCTGCCTCCTCCAGAAGCAGGTGGGGAGGAGACAGCACATGTGCAATTTTGCGTTCAAACCCGTTGCCTGAGTGAGCCTGTTATCTTAAAGTCTAAGGAAATGCTCCAAAAGGCACAGATTTGTGGACAAAGGTATTATTGGAGCATGGCTTATAATAGCCAAACACTAAGAATTACTTAATACCTGACACAAGGGAAATAATCTATGCAATATTTACATAGTATGTATATTTTTATCTTCATAAGGAAATGTTTATAACAAACTGTCAGGTGAAAAAAGAAGGGGGCAAGGTTGTGTGTACTGTGTGAGCTCAGTCATATGGTCCTTTTGGGGAGGGGGTGTTGAATAGCTACTGCTTCTAGAGATGGATATTGGACTCAGATCTGAGTTTGTGTCCCAGTTCTGCCACGAGCCCTGGGGCTCTGGGCCAGGTGTTCTATCCAACTGGACCTCTGTGATCTCATTGGTAAAATGGGAATAAAATTAGAGCCTCTTCTAGTGCTGTGAGGATGAAATTCAGTAACATAAAGAGCTTAGCACAATGCCTGCCTGGCACTGGACAGCATGTGGTAAATGACCGAGATTATTATTAGAGGCCAGTAAGTATTCCAGAAGGATAATGGTGGTTCTCTTTGTATAAAGGGATTAAAGAGTTTTTTCTTTGTGTTCTTCTGTATTTTCTCAATTTTCCATAATGCGAATATATTACTTTTATAATCCAAAGAGAAGGTTTCTATTAAAAAGCAACACACAGGAGCCTGGTTTTTTTTTTTTTTTTCAAACTACCTTATAAAAGAGATGCTTGAGGTGTAGGTGAGATGTTGCCAAGGTCAGGCGGCACACCTGGTCTGGACTCAGGTTCTGCCTGCCTCCAGCCTCTGTCTGCTCCTTTATCCAGGAGTTAACAGGAAATAGATGTCTTAGCAGAATCTCTTCACTCAGGGCTTCCTTTTAGCAGTGTTCTCACAATCTCATCTTCAACAAGAACACTTTATAGTTGTGAGAATATGTTAAAATAAAACTCCATCTTACCTGTAGACACCCTGTAAGTTAGGATTTTGCTCAGCAGCAGATACCAGAAAACCTGACAGGTACTTGCTTAAATAAGGAAGAGGGTGTATTTGTCTCATGTAGAAAGAAGTCCGAGGTTGGCCTGGTGGTCCAGACTGTCATTGAAGAACCGGAGTTCTCCTTGCTTTTCTGTTCTGCCAGCTTGATCCATAGCTGCTGCCGCCCCTTGGGCCTTGCATGAGCATTCTGGGCAGGACAAGGACAAAGCTGTCATTGCAGCACTGGCAGACCTGCACTTACAGTCTCACGGCCAGGGTCACATGGCGCTTCTAGCTGCGAGGTCGTCTGGGAAGCTGAGCTTGTAACCTGATGGTGTCTGTAGTGGAGGACCGCAAGCAGGAGGGATGTAGACTGAGTCAGCCTGTAGTCTCTGCACGTAGCCCCAGTCCCTCGCAGTGAGATTTTGGGTCCATACATGGATTTATAAAAATTAGGTGCTGAGCACAGTTCAGCTTGATTAAAACAGTAACACACGCGTACATGTGTTACTGAAGTGTTTATCTAGGTAGAGGAGTTAGCACTGGAAGGGGCCCTCAGTCAGATGACGTTACATGTGGTATGAGAACCAAGCCCAAAGAGCTGGATGGATCCGCCTAAGGCCACAATGCAGGATCACTGGTGGCAGAGCTAGGATCGGTGTTCAGTGTTTTGTACTTTTTTTTTTTTTTTTTTGCTTCCATGAAGTCAGAATACTGTTCTTTCCAGCTCATTTCAGTATCTTCTAAAAGTAGATATAAATCATTTAGCACTTCTCTTGAGTGATGCAAATTTAGAGCTGTGGAGCTGCCTGTGGGCTTCCAGGGAGGGCACTAGGAGCTGCTGATCTGGCGCTGGGCTTGGGAATGGGAGTCATGACGGCGCGTCGTGATGATGTGGGGTGAGACCACCCCCCTGTGGGGTTGGGGGCTGTACTCGTGGGTCCAAATGTCTTGCCAGGACTTGGCTGTTGGAAGGAGAAACAACCAGCTTCTAGCAGCCCGAGTCCACCGACTCTTCAATATTTGGATAACCATTGCACCCATTTCCCTTGGCTGTGACTTAGGATGTCCTGGATTTATGAGCTCACTGGGTGGTGCTCTGAATAACTTCGCAGAGGCTAAGGTGTTAATTTCTCCCCCTTTCGTTTTAGGTGTGGCCGTGATTCACAAGTCCCTATGACCCAAACTCCCACTGCCAGGAGGTGGAGGAAGGAGCAGGTCCTGCCTGTGACTCAGGACGGCAGGACCCCGGCAGCTGGATGCAGCTCGCCAGCGCGGTCTGTGGTGCTGCAAGAGCCACTCTCCTCCCACTCGGCAGACCGGCGTCGTCTGTCACAGTGCGGACATCGTGATGACCGGTGACCCTCCTGCTTCCAAGAGGTGCTTTGGCCTCTGCCCTGAGCAGTGGAGTTCCTGACAGCCCCATGCAGCACCTTTGGGCATTTCTTGGTGTTTCTACAGGGACAACAGAGAACCTGTGTGTGATCGTGTGCGTGCGTGTGCATGTGGGTTTGTGTGTGTGTGTGTGTGTGTAGAACATGGTGTTTCACCACCTTCATGGGTGACACTCGTGTGACAGTCTATTGGATTTCTTTACTACTGATCCTTTCACTATGCTAGAAATCAAATCACAAAAATGTCTCTTCTGGATTTGTCCCACGGGGACCCTGAGACTACTAAAGCTGCTGTCTTCTGAAGGTGCAGCCGGACAGGCTGGAATGTCCAGAATTAACCGGTGAGAAGAGCAGTTCATCTGACCACGCCTGCTTACGTCACTTGACTACTGTAACTTTGTCTGCAGAAGAGCTGGGCCTTCTCGAAGCTACACTGTGTCACCTGTGTGCTAGACTAGGGGGAGGACAGGTCCCCTGTGCTCCTCAGCTGGCTGCTCTCACGGGGGTTGTCCTCTAGGAAGCAGATGAGACTTGCCCGGTCTTTAGGTCTGGGCCACTGGGTTTTGAGGTCATGGATTCCAGGTTTGGGAGATTTTGTGTCTCTTTAGCTGGGAAAACGAGCTCTTCCGAAAAGCCCCAGGTAACACACTGGAGAAAAAATACACAAGAAAGAAACAAAACCAAACAAACCCAAAGTGGTACGGATTTAGTCCCTGCCCATAATTGTCTCAGAGAGGGATCCTACTTCTGGGTTTTCTCAAGATGGGACAGTCCCTGTTTGTACTTATTATCCAGAATTAATTATTCATAATAATTAATGCCCCATCTTACTATCAAAAGGGTTCTGGTTTGGAGGATAAGTAAAAGGTCACTCTCCCTCTCTCCAAACCCAAAGATAGATTTGTCCCTGTGTTGGATGGGTTGTGTGTGATTTAGATGGACAAGGATGACTTCAAAGGAATACACCAGCTGAAACTGGCCCTTGGCACTTTGTGACATTGGTCAGGTCTGTCTGATGTCCTGTCTTCCTTATCTTGGGCTTTCTCCCATTCCAGGGTCTATTCCCTCTCCCTAACCCCCAGTTTCCTGCATCCCCACTTTTTCTTTGGGGTCAAAGATGGCAGGGGGCCCGGATTTGAGATCTTTCCCAAGGGGTACTTGTATTTTAAAAGAGGAGCTTAGTGAGAACTTTCCTAATTCACAGGTAAAAATTATTAATGCTAGAAGTTCAAACATCTGGAGGGGTGGATATTTGAGGATGCATAGAGTCATTTGCATTAAAAAAAAAACCTTAAAGCTGTATTGTTCCTAAACTAGCAAATTGCTTTTGCTGGAATTTCCGGCATAGGAGAGGAAGTCTTGTGTCTAGGGAATAGTCTCATAGCTTGTGGGGTGGGGGTTTAACCCTCCCTGATGTCAAGGTCTACTACAGGAAGCCAAGGGGCTTCGTAAACCCCGATGTTGGACTTCTGATGCATCTGGGCTACTTCTAAGCAGACACTGCGGGAGATTCGCACCCCCAAGCCCTGCAGTTAGAAGCCCAGGAGTCTCCCCAGCTGGTTGGCCACTTTGTGTATTTACTGTGTATTTATAATATGCTAAATATGCGACTTCCCTAAAGACAAAACTTCTCTTTCCAGTGCTAAGCAGATGTTACTTTAACAAGAAATTTGGAGAGCAAAAAGACACCTAAAACTTTTAGAAGCCTTTGGAAAAGGGTAAAACGTCCAGCTTTGGTGGACCTGGAAGAACTGTCACTAAAGGACTGAGGGTGTGCTTCCGTGGGGAGCTCTGGTCTCACCTGGCAGTGGGGGTGACTGTGGTCTCAGAGCTGTGCCTCGCTCTGGGTTGGAAGTTGATGGAATGAGCTTTTCGTTCCAAATGTCCTTTCCTCCTCTCCGATGAAGTTTTGAGGCTCATTTGGGCGCGCCTGTGGTCAGGACGGGAGTGCGGTTGGGACCTGTTGTGTGCTGGTCACAGAGCTGTCGGTTTCGGATAAGGCGTAGTCCCCGGGCCCTCCCCACTGCCGAGAAGCTGGACTTCCGTGCTGGTGTAGGGGAGACTGTTTTTTATGTGTCATCTTCCCAGAAAGGGTCCCTCTCCTGACCTGCTTTTGGATTTTTGCTGTTGGTTCCACTCGGCGTCTCCCTTCCTAGGAAGCGCTGCCTCCACTGGTCGTGCTGCTGAGGCCATTGCTCATCTCATCCTCATGCGTCCTTTCTCATGGGGACTGGACCACTGGTACGTCGTCACCAAAGCCAGTCTGCTCTAGCTGCCCACAGATGCCACCCAAAAACCCGTCTCTTCACCAGGTACGGTTCTTTCTCCTCGGTAGACAAAGCAGACTTACTTTCACGTTTGTGCTGGTCACATGGTAGGTGACACCTCCTCCCGCCCACGTAGGGCAGCCGCTGCTGCTTGGGATGCAGCTGTGCCCGCGGCGGATCTGTAATCCGACCGCGGTGGCAAAATGGAATTGAGGCCCAAGGTTAGAAGCAGCTTGAACGCCACTTGGATACCGATCTGGACGGCACAGAAGTCAGATTCTGAATTCCAAAGTGATTTCTCATAAGTACCCAATGGCATCTCTCAATCTAAAAAATTGCAGTATTATGCAAATGAAAGTGACCTCATTTTCTGCTATGCAATAAGAATACTTAATTCTATTTCATGACAAGCCAGTTGCAATGTCCCCTAAGATGCTTTCTGAGCTGTCTTACTTTGATATCTGTTGTGTAATGTTTGTATATTTCTGAGCCAGATCCTTTCAAAGATTGCCTTTTTATAAAATTGAAGCTATAGCGTTTAGGCTAAAATTTTAAATGTAGATATTTTTATAAGATAATTTTTCAAGATATTTGAATTGCATTTTATTGTCCGTGATAATGAAATGTTATGTTCTGTATGTCATTCACTCTCAAACATAGTTCATGCCTGTAGCTATCTTCCCTTTGTTTCTCACCCTCCAAGAGTGGATTTTTCAGTAGCTCCAGGTAGACGACTCATCTGTTACATGCCGTATTCAAGGAAGACTGCTGAATTTCAAAGCACAGTCACTGGTGTTTCTTGGATTGCTAGGGACTAATGTTAAGCTTGACTCAGCACTTACCCATCTATACTGCTTATCTATTTTTTTTGAGTCTGCTCTCTGCAGGGGAGAGGCTGGGTTGGCCCATCTCCTGGTGGCTGTCACTGGCTGGTGGTCAGCCTGGCACACCGTGGCACGGAGAAACCCCAGACAAAGGCCTGCCCACGGCACATACTCCTGGAGTTTCCCAGGTCCAGCAGATTGCTCCTCAGTCTCTTCTCTCTCCCTGTTCTTCTGAAGCTTCCAATAGCTTGAGGCGTTTGCTGCCAGCCGATGTCCCTTTTGGAAGCATCTTGTCTCTGAACTTTGAAAGAGGGGTCACTCCTCATGACCCCCATTAAGAACGTGTTAAGCATGCGCTTTGCAGCTGCTGTGCTTACAACTTACAACTTGTTTCTTGAGCTGCATCTACGCTCCAGGCTCTGTTTTGTGTATTTATCTGCTGTTAGCCTCATGGGTTTGTTTTTTTTTTTAATCTTTATTTTTATTATTGTTGGGATAGGTGCCATTTAAATTGCCTCCATGCTTCCCGTTTGCACCTAGCTGGATCAAGTTGGGAGGTTAAGCAAACTCATATTCCAGTTAGCTGGAGTTTTTAAGGCTCTGCTTGCCTAGAGAAGCAAGGAGGTTGGAATGTATTTTTTTTAAGCGTTTGCACTATTTAGAGCCAGTCCTCAGCCCCTCATGTTCAGCTGCACTGTGTATCTACTGACCAAGCAGGAGAGCTGGCAGCACTTCCAACTTCTGGGAATGGAAGAGGCTTCTTCCGTAGCGGATAACCGCAACCTCATAGCCCCTGTGCACCCTTCGTCACGGGACTCAGTGACTCATGGATACAGCGTCAGCCGCGGCGGGAATGCGTGGGACTGTGGCATTTGCTGAAACAAATTTCCCTCGTGCTGTGTTCTTGCCGTCGGCAATGAGATTGTAAATTATCTTTCCCCCTTTTCAGTGGCAATAAAGGCCCTTTGTCGGACTTCTTGTTTAATTTGTATATGATGTGTAAAATACTTTCTTTGAAAGAAGACTCAAGACGCTGAATGTGTATGTCTGTGTGGGTGCTCTGTCCCTGTGTTTGTCGTAGGCGGTCAGACTTGATTGCTGACACCTGTACAACATAGTGCGTAGGCGAGGCCTTTGATAGCCAGTGTTTTATGCATGGTCGCTAGGAACGGCGCATCTTGTAAAAGAACACTTGTCACTTGCTCGATCAGTTACAGTGATAGCCGAAGAAACATTTCCTCAAATGTACCATTTTAATAGGAATCATGTTCTAGTTTCCCATCCTTTAATTTTAATAAAAGCTGAACTGTGCAAACCTTTCTCAGTATTTCATTTCTACAGCCCAGCCTTTCCACTTTATCTCAGACATGAAAAGGACAGACTTATTGCTCTGCGTATCTTCAGATTTTTAAAGATTTTTCTCTTTAAGATCTGCTGGACAGGGTCTGTGGTCTCTGTCACCGGGCCCCAGCACAGGGCCAGACCCACAAAGACCTTCAGTGAGGCCCATGTGGGACAGTCCCTTCAGTAGGTGTCACGTGGTGTGGGCAACTGCCAGCTAATCACTGGGACCCGCTGGGCATCAGGTTGGGAGGGGAGGGTGGCTGGCGAAGCTGGTGTCACCGTTTGGGAGGGCGGCCTCTGGTGAAGTGGGCCCAGATACTCGGCTCCGCTGCGACTTCTCAAAGCCCCCTGCACGGGGACCTGAGCTCCCCCTCTGGTTAATAAACCGGGCAGTCCCAGGCTCCTTCACGATGTCAGTGGCTTTGTCCTGTACCAGGTGTCGGACGGACAGCACAGAGAGGTCAGGCTCCTCCTCAAGCTGGAGAGGCCCAAGGGACAGTGGGCCCTCTCGGCTAGATCCCTCCCCATATGTGGGAAAGTGAATTCTGAGCTCCAAGAGGGCACGGCCGGCTCAACTTACTCTGGTGCCTGGTGCCTGGCCCTCGGCTAGCACTCGGGAGCACTTGTGGAGGAAGGAAGCACGTGAGTCGGGC